TTTACATTCTGTGGAAGGTTGCTGTTTCTCTTAGGAAGTTTATTAGGTTGTTCTCGTTCTCATGTGAGTTATTGTATATTGATATATCTGAGGTTTGGTGTTTTTCTCTTTCAGCATCATACGCTCTGCATTATCTAATGATATGGTCTGCTGTTAGCCAGATGTTGCAATGTCTGCATTTCGGTCTATCTGTTCTTTTTATTAGATAACTATCTGATATCCATGTTTTTCCTTGTCTTACTCTAGTAAGTACTCTTTGTTCTGAGACTTTTTTCCTGTCAGTGTATGGTAGTGTTGTTGGTTTGGTTTGTCTGAGAAATGATTTATTTGTATTTAGCCATTCCTCTTCATTTGACCGTATTGCTTGTTTCTTGAACCATTTTAATGCATCTTGTGCGGGTACTTTCATAAAGTTTGTTTGGCTTGTTCTGCCTAATTCTGCTAGTTTGTCTGTTCATTTCCTGCTATCCCAGTGTGGCCTGGGATCCAGCAGAAAGTTACTTTGTTTTTGTTTGCGTATTTGTCGATTTCTTCTATCCATGCATGTTTTGAGTTTCCTTTGTCGATGGCTGCTAAGCATCCCGCTGAGTCAGTGAAGATTATGGTATCTTTTTTATCTGATGTGGAGAATCTTGTCGCGTATGCCAGGGCTTGTGCTTCCGCTGAATATATAGTGCACATTTTATTTAGCTTTATGCTTTTGTTGGTGTCGTAGTCGGCAATGCCGCAGCCTACTTCATTGCCTCTAACTGATCCGTCAGTGTATATTTTGTTATGGTTGGGGTATTTTTGTATTGTTTCCAGGAATACCTTTGCAACTATGTTGTTTTGTGTTCCTGCTTTTAAAGTGTTTTTGATCGACCAGTCTATTTTCGGTTTTTGTTTATACCATTTTCTATCTTTCGTGTATATTCTTTTAGCTATTTCCGGTATTTCCTTGCCAGCTAGTTCTATAGCAAAGTTGTTCGTCCTGCCTACTAGTGGTGATCTTAGGGTTTTGTTGTTTGTGGCTCGTTCTAGTTTCTTGATGGCCTTGTATATTGTGTTTAGTTTTAGTCTTGTGCTTAAGGGTAGGATCCCAGCTTCGACTAGTATGTTCGATATTGAGCATGCTCTGAATGCTCCCGTTATTGTTCTTATTGTTTGATTATATATTGGGGTGAGTGGTTTTATCAAGTTGTCTGAACCATCATAGTAGAAGTGGGCCCCGTGTAATAGTTTTGACATGATTAGTGCATCGAAGACTTTTAATAATGTTCTTCTATTCGCTCCTTTGTATCTTCCGCCAAGGGCCTTTATGAAGTTGGTTTTAGTTTTTAGTTCGATAGCTAGTTCTGATATGTGTTTTCTGAAGTTTAGTCTGGAGTCTATGGTGACGCCTAGTAGTTTTGCACTGTTTACTAGGGGTACTTCTTCGTCATTAATTGTGATGTTTTCTAGTTTTGTGTGGCCGTGACTTCTGCATATGTGGATTATCTTGGGGGCTATTGTGAATCCAATGTCGTTTGCCCATTTTGCGATTTTGTTTCCTGTGTTTTGTAGTTTAGGTCTTAGTTTATTTTTAACTATGCCTATTACAATTATGACAATGTCATCTGCGTAGACTAGTATCTTGATATTTTTGTTGTTTTTGACTTGTTCAAAGACTGAGTTCATGGCTATTAGGAATAGCGTTACTGATATGGTTGCTCCTTGGGGTATGCCATTTTCTTGGGTTTTGGTATTTGATCGCGTGTTTCCCACTTCTACTTGGAATGTTCTATCAGTTAGGAGATTCTGTATGTAATGTGCCATGGTCCCACTCACATAGTTTATCCATTATTGTTCTACGCCATGCTCTGTCGTATGCTTTTGGGGTGTCCAGAAAGGCACATTCCACGTGTTTGCCCTTTCGGATGGATTTCATTAGTATATTCTCTAGTTCTATGAAGTAGTCATCCGTGCTTTTTCCAGGTTGAAAAGCGAATTGGTTGTGGTTCAGTCTTTTATTTTCTTCTAGTTCCGTTATTAGTCTTCTGTTAACCATCTTTTCTAGGATTTTGCCAGTACAGCTGAGTAAGGTCTGTAGTTTGATTCTAAATGTTTATTTTCTCCTCCTTTGGGAATTGGGATTACCAGACCAGATTTCCATTCTGTTGGTATGGACCCTTCCCGCTAAATTCTGTTGTATTCCTCCAGTAGTATTATTTTAGTGTTAATAGGTAGTTTTCTTAGCATCTCGTAACTTATTTCATCCATGCAAGCTGCTTTACCTTTTGCTTCGCTTAGAGCTTTTTCAAGTTCTTCTATTGAGAAGTTTCTGTTGTATATAGGTAAGTTCATATCTACTGGTGTGCTCTCGTGTGCAGTTTTGCTCTTTTGGAATTTGCTTGGGTATTTGTCTGTTGCCGATTGGTCGTAGAAGTCGTTGGCTAGTTTATCAGCTATTACCTTTTTGTTGCTTATTATTTGTGTTCCCTCCGTAAGTGTGATTTCATCTCTTTTCTTTTTTCCGCTTAGTATATTCATTTTGTTCCATAGGTCACTAGGATCTGAATCTGGGTTTATATTTTCTAAGAATTCTGACCATGATTCTTTTTTGGCTTCTCTAATGATTTCCTTTGCTCTTGAGTTTGCTCTCTTGAGTTTGATTACTAGTGATTTTTTGATTTCATCGTTTTCTTTGTGTTCTCTTAGTCGTTTTAGTGCTTTTCTTCGTTTTTTGACGCATTGCTCTACTGCTTTGTTCCACCAGGGGACCTTTCTGTGCTTGGTTTTACAATGTCTTGAACTTGTACATGGAATACGAAACTTCAAGACATTGAATATTTTTAGATCTTGGACTTACTTACTTGGAAAACTCAGGTAATTTTATCCAGAATAATAAGTAGACATCTTATATAGAGAACGATGATTAAACGTCACAACGCAAAGAATAAATAATCTTGAAATAAATTCACGCTAAAACAGTTGAAAATAGTGACTTATTACAAGAAAAAGTGACTTTAATGACTTGGCCTTAAAAAAGAGACTTTTTAGTGACTGACTTGAAAAAAGTGACCAGGTCACTAAAAAGTGACTCGTTACCAGCCCTGCACCCCAAGCAAGTAACGAATGATCTAAAATGTGTTAAACAAAACAAATAAACAATAAGCGTTAGTTCAACGGCAGATGAGCTTAAATTAAATTTTAAATAAGACATTAACAGCAAGTTAAATTGCTTTCATTTAAAAAGTCTTGACTGCAAAATGAAAGCACAATTTGATATCAGACTAATGTCTTGACAATTGAAATCAAAATGAGTTTTCATTATGATAGGAACTGCAAACTTTAATATCGATATGCTTTCATTTTGTTAACCGACTTTGCTCGGGAGGCACCCATACATTACGAATGTTCTTCTAATTTAAACCCACACATTCAAACCGGTCATCAAGTATGATAACGTCCAAAGCGTACCAGGCTGCTGCTTCCGTGTTGCTCCCGTTTGACGCGTGACTGCTGAAAGTTTCAATTACAACTAGTGGTGCAAACCGCCATGTATTGTGGAAAATTTGTGGTATGTTTCAACTACTCATCAACTCTTAAGAGTTACAAATTTAATTCGTTCAAACAAATCTGAAGGCCACTCAACTGGAGTTGCTCTTCTAGACATAGAAAAAGCATTCGACAGTGTTCGGTATGAAGGTTTGATTGCTAAATTGAAAACAGTTTAATTTTCCACTTTATATTATGAAATTAGTTCAAAATTATTTAACTGACAGAACTCTGCAGGTAAATTATCAAAATTCCAAATCTAATCGACTACCTGTTAGAGCAGGAGTTCCTCAGGGTAGCATTCTTGGGCCTATATTGTATAACATTTTCACTTCGGACCTCCCTGATTTGCCTCAGGGTTGCCACAAATCTTTGTTCGCTGATGACACAGGCATTTTCGCTAAAGGAAGAAGTTTTCGTGTTATTTGCAGCAGACTGCAGAAAAGAATAGATATTTTCTCTTCTTATTTACAAAAATGGAAGATTTCTCCCAACGCTTCTAAAACTCAACTTATAATATTTCCACATAAACCTAGAGCTTCGTTTTTGAAACCTAGTAGTAGTCACATAGTCACTATGAACGGAGTTCCAATTTCCTTGTCAAACCAAGTGAAATATCTTGGATTAATACTTGACAAAAAATTAACTTTTAAAGATCACATTGAGGGCATTCAAGCCAAATGTAACAAATATATAAAATGTTTGTATCCTCTTATAAACAGTAAATCCAAACTTTGCCTGACGAATAAACTTCTAATATTTAAACAAGTTTTTAGACCGGACATGCTTTACGCTGTGCCAAAATAAGGTCTAGTTGTTGCACTACCAGGAAAAAAGCACTTCAAAGGATTCAGAACTTCGTTCTGAAAATGATTTTGAAGTTGCCTCCCTGGTACAGTACTACCGAAGTACATAGAATTTCGAATGTTGAGACTTTAGAACAAATGTACAACAAAATAATTAATAATTTCAGGCAAAAATCGTTGCAATCCTCAATTGCAACGATTAATTCCCTTTATACTTAGATAAGATTTAGTTTTAGTTTTTAGTTTTTTTTGTGGTATGTTTCAAGAGGTGATAGAAGGTCTGCTTGGCTAATATCAGGCGTTGACCATTCACAAACTTGCCATCCGCCATCCAAAAAAGCTCGCTTTTAGGTGCACTATCTACCGAGTTTTGTCATGGTAGTGTTATCGACATGCTTAGAAAGCAATGCATTAATGCAAACCAAGGTCGTAGATTTAATTGAGCCACATTATAAAATAGTGTATTCCTGGCCACTTGTGGTCTGGAGTAAAAAAGTACAGCTATAATGTGACAATAAAATCTATAAAATCTAAGCGCTTTTTTTTAATCATTTACACCTGTGTCGTGCACAGGTCGCACATGTGGACGAGACGCCACTGAATTTTGACTGGATGCATTTGGACGTTTGAGCTTATTAAATAAGCTAATTAAAAAAAAAAACCCCAATAGTTACTCACCATAAAATTGTTAGGATATTCCTTATGATGCTTGTCCTTGTGAGCATCGTCGATCTCCGACTTGCTAAGCTCTAGCAAAAGGTTTCCCTCAGCGTCTTCTACAATAAAAAATAAAAATAAAACCAAAATCAATCATGAGACGCTGGTCGGGGCGGGCAGGCGGCGGCTTCCGCAACTTACTTCTCGCTGACTTCTCCACAAAATACGTATTGAACCAGAAATGGCATCGTTTCTCCTTCCGCAGGACCGAGCTCTTGACGAGCTCGACCTTGACGTCGCCGGCCAGGGGCATGCAGTAGTCCAGCTTTGCCACGACGTGCTGCTGCTGCTCGTCGGCGGCCCGTTTGAACTCGGGTAGCTGCATCGGACCCTTGCCGGTCACGCTGATTGTACCTTCCTTGAAGTTCAGCACCGGAGCTATCCGAATTTCGCAAATCTGAAACAAATAGGAGGTGATTAGTGCGGGTTCATGCGCCATCTTGGGAGTGACATTACATATAGCGTCACCGGTTGGTAGGTTTCGTTGCTTCTGAGTAGCGTGGCGTAGTATTCGACGTATCGCCTTTGGGACGGGATCGTTACGCCTTTGCTGTCACTTGTGCGCCGCTGTGCGTAGTAGTGGAGTGCTTCGGCCGCCGTGTTGAACTGCCCACTGTACAACAGGTAGCAGCAGATCATCGTACCTGGAAGTGATGAAAAAAAAAGGTTCAATTAGCGAAATCTCAACTCACGAGTCTGAAACTCGACGGTGGGTGGGCTATGGCGAGTGTCACAAAAGTCTCACAACATCCGTGTGGGGTGTGATAACGGAAAGAAATAATATCAACAAAGCCAGAGATGAATTGCGCTTCGGTGCCCTTAACCATCATCATCACCAATGCCGTCGTCAGTTTTATGGCGAGAAAGAGATTGTGTAATCTCCACAGCTGGATGCGCTACTCTGGATGTTTGGTTGGTTTGAGTAAATACTGTCAGAGAGTTTACGATCAACTTCCTCAGCTGCAGATACCGGACCGGATAGATCCAATGTTTTGCAAAAATTCATAAATCGCGTCCGGTGTCTGCTTTCCCCTAAAGATATCCTAAAACATATTCTGGTGCAGCAGTAAGAAGAGCTGGTCTAGGCGATGAACTATTTTAACGACGTATGGCGTAATTTTATTATCAGCAGCCGACGGTGGTATGGCACAGTCCGGGGAAGGCGTGCGTCGCCGTGTTGTATGCTTAATTGCACTCGGGGAATTGAGTTTTCACAGTTCCGTGCACATTATTATCGTCGTTCGACTAAGCAGAAACCGATCAGTGGTGTGATCAGGAGTTTCAGTTCCCAACTTGCCATCCTTTCCGATACGCCACTGGAATTCGCATATAGGTGCGGCAAAGTCACCGTCGCCGAGCATGGTGGATAGACAGCTGCTATGTATTGGACAACTCGACCTGCCGGCCGGCCAGTTGTTGGAATGGGATGATGAGGTTTTCATTCGTGCGCGGCGCTAATGGAAAACAAGCCTCTCCCATAAAACTCCCGGTTTAGCGATCGTAAACAAGTGCGAAGTTTATTTCGGCTGACACTGGCTGCGCATCGTTTGCCGTGTGGTTTCTTCCCTCGATGCCAACCATCCATCCCCAATACCCTCTTGCTGGGTGCGCTGGATTCATTTCAAGGTTGTCTAGCTTTTATATGATTTGTATTGTGAACAATCAAGATGGGTTCGTGCGTTGGGACTATCTAAAGCATTCACATAATATGTTGTAGCCGATACAATGTATCCAGCTGTTGCATAGATAAATGGGAAAAAAATCCATAATATGTAGATATTCTAGTGATTTCAAACACAAAGCTTGCGATTACAGGGAAACACCCACAAACGACTCCGAACTGATTGACAACAAAATGGTTCGCCACAAAGAAATGTAAACCAACTTTTGATGCTGCATTTCGTATACATTTCTTGCGTAACATTTGTAAAGGGCCAATCAGCTTTTGTAAACAAAACTTTGTAACGCCCTTTGCACGCGAACCGAAGTATGTACGCCCAATCCAATTGAACTACCGGGAAAGGAAAAATTTCCGCAATTTGAAGGTGTTGTTGGTTTGCATGGGCATACTTCGGTTCGCGTGAAAAAGGCTTGTTGTGTACAAAAGTTGATAGGGCCTTTTCAAATGTTACGTGAGATTTGGTAGTTAAAAAATCTAATTTTATCCAATACTGTTAATTTCCATTTCATTCGATTGAAGATGAACTAATACAACAATTCAATCAATTCTTGGCTCAACATCGGGTTGGGGTGTGATTGCAGTCGAGTTGGTGTCGGGTTGGCTTAGCTTTTTCGCCGGAATTTCGACCAGAGCTCCGGTTGTGTGTAAGTTACACTCAATTGAATGATATCAAGCGTTTCTCAAATGAGAATCATCCATACCTTCGTCAAATGACTAAGCAAACTGATATCACCCTTCTTCAGTCTCTTTGATAACAAAGGGCTGTTTTTCTCATTTTCATCAAATAGGGTAAATGGCTCTAATGTTGGCCTATGGATCTAAGATTGGGCCCATCGCTAAAAATTTGCTATTTATCAATTTTATCTAGATGGACGGGTTATTGGGACGGTACTTATGGATATTTTTGGTCGCTATTGAAATTTTAGTCGATTGCTGAAGTTATGTATGGGTCCAAATTAGGGACATTTAGGCCGACATTACATACATAATTGTGGAGTAAATAAACTTTAAAATACACTTAAACCTCCGTTTACGAAGTCTTTTTTTACGCAGTATTCAATTCACGTCCCTCTTTTTACGAAGTAAATCCCAAATAACGAGGTTTTTTTTTACGAAGTAAATTCCAAACAACGAGTTTTTTTTTGTGATTTTGGGAAACTGGGATATACTGTAAAATACCCCACAATATGGATATTTTTGGAATCGGAGTGACGTGTAGGGACCGGAAATCGATGTCTGACACCATTTTGAAATTCCAAGATGGCGGCCTCCGGTTACATAAAAACTTGGAAATTCTGTCATATACCCCACAATGTGGGTATTTTTGGAATCGGAAGCACGTTTAGGGATCGGAAATCAATGTTTGACGCCATTTTTAAATCCAAGATGGCGACTTCCGGTTACATAAAAAACTTGGAAATTATGCCAAATACCCAACAAAATGGTTATTTTTGGAATCGGAGTGACGTTAAGGGACCGGAAATCGATGTCTGACGCCATTTTTAAATCCAAGATGACGGCTTCTGGTAACAGAAAAATTGCCAAATACCACCACGTCACTCCGATTCTTAAGATACCCATATTGTAGGTTATTGAACATTATTTTTATGTTTTTATGTAACCGAAAGTCGCCATATTGAATTTCAAAATGGCGTCAGACATGGGTTTTCAGTCCTAATAAGCCACTCCGATCCCAAAAAACCCATATTGTGGGGTATTTGACAGTATTTTCCAGTGTTTCTGTAACCGGATGTCACCATCTTGGATTTCGAAATGGCGTCAGACATGGATTCCCGGATCCCACAGGTCACCCCGATTCCAAAAATATCCATATTGTTGTGTATTCAACTGTATTTTTCTGTTTTACTGTAACCAGAAGCCGCCATCTTGGATTTCAAAATGGCGTCAGACATCGATTTACGGTTCCTACACGTCACTCCGATTCCAAAAATACCCATATTGTGGGGTGGTCTTTGACAGAATTTTCATGTTTTCCTGTAACCAGAAGTCGCCATCTTGGATTTCAAAATGACGTCAGACATCGATTTCTGGTCCCTACACGTCACCCTGATTCCAAAAATACCCATATTGTGGGGTATTTCATTCAAAAATGGTCATCCTGGAAAATTCTCGTCAAACAACAATTTCTTGTCGCACGACAAGATCACCACGACAAAATCAAGAATCCATCCAGTCGCGACTAAATATTCTAGTCATATGTCACTCATACTGTTCCTTGAGACATAGTACTATAGGTCATTTAAAAAGGAGGATCACGACAAGAAACCAATAATGTTAATTTCCTTCAATATTGGTATTTCCTATTTCAGAAAAAGTGGGAAATACTGCCAAATACCCTTCAATATGCATATTTTGGGAATCGGGATGACGTCTAGAGACGAAAAATCGATATCCAGCGCCATCTTGAAATACAAGATGGCGGCTTCCAGTTTCAGAAAAAGTGGGAAATAATGCCAAATACACGTCAATATGTATATTTATGGAATCGGGATGACGTCTCGAGACCAAAAATCGATATCCAGCGTTATCTTGGATGAAATCCAAGATGGCGGCTTCCAATGTCACAAAAAGTGGGAAATACTGCCAAATACACTTCAATATGTATATTTTCGGAATCGGGATGACGTCTAGAGACCTAAAATCGATGTCCAGCGACATCTGGAAATCAAAGATGGCGGCTGCCGATTTTAGAAAAAGTGGGAAATACTACCAAATACCCTTAAATATGGGTATTTCCGGAATCGGGATGATGTCTAAAACCTGAAAATCGATGTCCGACGCCGTATTTTAATCCAAGATAATATGTATATTTTTGGAATCGGGATGACGTCTAGAGACCTAAAATCGATGTCCAGCGACATCTGGAAATCAAAGATGGCGGCTGCCGATTTAAGAAAAAGTGGGAAATACTACTAAATACCCTCTAATATGGGTATTTTCGGAATCGGGATGACGTCGAGAGACCGAAATCGATGTTCAACGCCATTGTTTAATCCAACATGGTGGCTCTCAGATTCTGATAAACTGTCATATACTCTACAATATGGGTATTTACGGAACGGGTTCGACGTGTACATCCCGAAAATATATATCTGACACTATTTTGTAATCCAGAAAAACTATCAAATTTGCGTATTTTCGGAACCAGTACTACGCGTACATCCCAAAAAATCGAGGTCTGACGCCAGTTTTGAATCCAAGATGGTGGCAAGTGACTTCAGAAAAAATGTTAAATACCCTATAATATGGATATTTTCGGAACTGGGTCGACCTGTACATCCCGAAAATTGATGTCTGACGTCATTTTGGAATCCAAGATGGCGGCCGTTGTTTTCTGAAAAGCTGTCAAATTCTACGATATTGATATTTTCGGTACATGACGCGTGTAGATGTCGAAAATCGATGTCCGATACCATTTTTGAAATCCAAGATGGCGGCTCTCAGATTCGAAAAAACTGCCAAATACCCTTCATTATGGGTATTTTCCGAACATGTACTACCATTTATGTCCGACGCCATTTTGTAATGCAAGATGGTGGCCATTGACTTAAGAAAAACTGTCAAATACCCAACAATATAGATTTTTTGAGACGACATGTACATGCCGAATATCAATGTCCAACACCATTTTGAAATCCAGGATGGCGGCTTCCGGTTTCAGCAAAAGATATAAATACAGTCAAATACCCTTCAATATGAGTATTTTTAGAAAAGGAATGACGTCTAGAGAATTACATATCGAAATAGAAAATGAGTGACCTGAAGTCCAAAATGGCAGCTACAGGATACAGGAAAAGTTGAAAATACTGTCAAATACCCATGAATGTGGGTATTTTGGGATTCGAGGTGATAACTACGGACTAGCAATTATTGTCCGATGCCATATTGAATTCCAAGATTGCAGCTTCTGGTTGCAGATAAACTGGATAGTAATGTTAAATA